TTAATATTGTTTTTTTATTCTTATTTATTTGATCACAAACACACACGTGTATATAACCCACTGGCTCAGCGACAAGTCTGTCCTCAGCACCAGCCATTTTTGAATATGGCGCTCAAATTTTCCTGGTCGTTGAAAATTACAATGCTGCGTAACTGGGAAGTTTGCACGTCATTATGCAGAGAATGGGGAGTTCGGAATTTATTAAAGATTCATAGCGTACCAGAGTTTCAATGGATATCCTCACTGGCCATCTGTCTGTAACTAAAATATAAAATCTTTATTCCTAGCATTAGTAATTTATAGACTTAACATGTGCAACTTGAGTAAAGATTGGTTGTTTGACCCTAGCGATGGACGCAGGGTATAAAATTCTCTTAGATCTGCTTACGTTTCATGCTACAACTAACTTCCCTCTAAAACATAGATATAATCGCAAACAACAAATGCTTCTAGAGATATTCTTAAGTAATGTAGGGACTTTCCTGCGAGGCAATCCATTACTTAGAGTAATTAAGGGACACTCTTGCCAGACATTCCCTTAAAAATGTGCATGGAACCAATATTAATAAAAATACTTCGAGATGTTGGTATTAGTTTTTTATTATCTAGAAGACACAGTTTGTAACTTTCTAGTTTGGCTTATAATCATAGTTATAGATCCCAGTGAATAAAATCGTAAATCCCAATTTATCGTTCCACTCGTCACCAGTAAACAAGCAGCAATGAAAGAAGACCAGGTCTCTAATACTGTATAATGTTTGGAAAATCCTTTATTATTGTATGTATTTGAATCATTAAAGTTAATTATTTTTTCTCATATATTTCTCAGAGGAAACTTCATTACTGTAGGCATTGGAACCGTGAAAGTTAATGAATTTTTCTCATATATTTCTCAGAGGAAACTTCATTACTGTAGGCATTGGAACCGCGAAAGTTAATGAATTTTTCTCATGTATAGCTCAGAGGAAACTTCATTACTGTAGGCATTGGAACCGTGAAAGTTAATGAATTTTTCTCATGTATAGCTCAGAGGAAACTTCATTACTGTAGGCATTGGAACCGTGAAAGTTAATGAATTTTTCTCATGTATAGCTCAGAGGAAATTTCACTGGCACAAAGTTCGCGATAACAAAAACTTGAAACCTTTAAAATAAAATGCAAATAATGCTGACGTTGCAACGATAAGTGAGGGCGTACATAAAAATAATCTAAACGATAAGCGAAGGGGTACATGAAAATAGTCTAAACGATAAGCGAAGGGGGTACATAAAGAGAGTCTAAACGATAAGCGAGAGGGTACATAAAATAGTCTAAACGATAAGCGAGGGGTACATGAAAATACTCTAAACGATAAGCGAGGGGGTACATAAAAATAGTCTAAACGATAAGCGAGGGGATACATAAAGATAGTCTAACCGATAAGCGAGGGGTACATAAAAATAGTTTAAACGATAAGCGAGAGGGTACATAAAATTAATCTATTTGGTTTATTTTTAAAATGACATAAAACATCCTTTCTAGCTAAAAAATAATAATAATAATAACTGCGATGACCTAACACTAAGAAAATTAAGCTTAATATGAAAATTTTATATTTTTGTGATAATCGTCAGTGTGAACGAGACACTGTGAAAATCATATAACAAAGTTTGTCAATCTAAATAAGGAATATCAGTCTAAATAAGGTTCAATATTTTTCATATAAACTTTGCTTATTTTAACACATATAGTGGAATATTTTTATTCTTTCAAATCCCCCAGTAGTTCAACGATGAGCTTGTGGGCTTATTTCGCTAAAATTCGGGTTTTCGATCCCTGCGGTAGACATAGAAGATAGTTCATAATATAGTTTTGCGGCAAACAACAACAAATAAACAAACTTTTAAATTTATTTTTATTTTCAATTAGCATATTGGAAGGTCACAGCCGTTACTGGGCGTCAAATTACTATCCGTCTTTTATATCAGTTTCATCAAGAAATATGTTATTCTTCTTAAATATGAAAACAAGCTCATTTTCAGTCAGGCTTGCCCAAAATCGGCTATAGAACCAGAAGAGGGCGTGACGCTGCTACTAAAGGCAAACCCTGTTTAACACTTTTGGTTCTTATCCTCAGGGTCGTAGTATGTCTAGTGATCAATTATTTTTTATCAGTGTTTTGTGATCGATAAATAAATAAACACACTCTCTTGATCATATGGTTACACCTGTAGGCTTGACAGGTTGTAAGTGCTAATTAGGGAGTGATTTGTTTCTAAAAACAAGTGTAAAAGAACCAAACTAGTAGAGAGGTCTCTTTCAGGAGACTTTTTTATCCTTGAGAAATAAATTCTACCACCAGGTGGTAGTCATATTTCATTGACAAATTAACATCGAGAATGGTTTAACCTTTTTGAAGTTAGACATCGAGAATACGTAGGAATACTTAATTTAGGTAACTCTTTGTTGTACATATGGCACGTTGAGGATCTTTTTTTAAAAATAATATCAGGGTTCTGAAGATAAACTGGTTCTGTCGGAAATTCATTGAAATATTGAAATATTTACCATTTCAGTAAAAAAGGTGTTACATTAACTCAGCTTGACATAGCTTTTCTCATCAACACTCTCCTAATCTTCACCCATCTACTCTTGTAGCTATACACACACACACGCACCCTGCCGGCAGACTGAAAAGATTTACCAGCTGTGATTCTAAACAAATACAAAAAAGACTGCAAGAAATATGCGCATAATTTATTGTAAACCGCCTAGAAGTGTAGCAAATTTTCGTGTGTCAATTGTTTAACACCAAGGCCTAACACTGCGGACACCAACTTACTAAGGCGTTAGTTGCTCGTATACGTGGGTGGGACGATACAGATTTTGAAGGTGTAACCAAGCAAAACGACGTTTTCCTTTCAGGTCTAGTAAGTTGCGTTTCGTAACCAAAATTACTTAAGATTCTGACAGAATTCACCTTGATAAACTAGCCATTGAAACCGTACTCCAAGACACTTTGTTAGCGGGGGAAAAAAAAGGGACATTTACCCCAACCCTCTAGCGATCAACAAGGGGCACCCAAATTCTATTGAAAAATCACAAACAAATCTACAGATTTATCCAGTATTGAACCATGGAAAATGCGCTTGTAAATCCCGCTTATATCTGCTGAGTTATTTCACTAACTGATAAGTTGAAACTATCATTGCATCTAGGGGTTACAAAATACACACTCGCCTCCCCCTTCCACAACAATGAGATTCTAGAAACGTCTCTGCATACAACTTAACCAGAGTCACATTCTAGTCATAAATTAAAAAAACAAAACAGTGAAGAAAAAACGTTTGTCAGTTATTATTAAGGATAAAACAAATGTATGTAATACCACTGAAATAATTAGAAGAACCTCCAGTTAATATAATACGTTTGTTGGTTATTAATAAGATAAAACAAATGTATGTAATACCATTGAAATAATTAGAAGAACCTCCAGTTAATATAATACGTTTGTTGGTTATTAATAAGATAAAACAAATGTATGTAATACCACTGAAATAATTAGAAGAACCTCCAGTTAATATAATACGTTTGTTGGTTATTAATAAGATAAAACAAATGTATGTAATACCACTGAAATAATTAGAAGAACCTCCAGTT